TTATTGTCCAGTTTTCGGACCCATATGTCAGGATACTTCTTGTCAGGGTATTATATGTTCTCTTTTTTGTCTTTATCGTAATGTTCTTATCCCACAGCACTGAATTTAGTTGTCTTATACAGTTTCTTGTTTGTCTTAGTCTGTTGTTTATATCTTCTTCTGTTATTCCCTGGTTCGATATTATGGTTCCTAAAACTTGAATTTATCTGTTCCATTTACTTGTCTTCCCTCGTCTATCTCTAGGTTTCTCATATCCTTGTTTTCTGTTGTTAGGTATTCGGTTTTCTCTAAGTTTATTTCCATTCCGTTGTTTTTATATTCTTCTTCTAGTTTTCTGAGCATAAAGCTGAGATCTTCTTCATCTTGTGCGATGACTACTTGATCGTCGGCAAAACTTAAGGTGTATAAGTATTCGTCTCTTACCGGTATGCCCATTCCTTCGCACTTTCTCCTCCATTGTATAATTGTGAAAACAATTTTTATGGGAAAGAAAATCCACTAATAATTTAATCCGTACTCGCCTTACACGTTTTGCTCCATAAAATAAAAAAGCGGGATATTACCAATAACGCTGAGCGATCTTCAGATCCGATGAAGACTTGTGTGTTAGCAAGCTCAATTTTATATCTCAGGTGACATCCAAATTCCATTAGATTTCTCCTGGCGTGCCATTTCCAGTAGCTTCTAGTTGCGCTAAAACCTATACGTCATATGTAGCTTCTTATGGTCCACACACGTACCGATTTATAACCGTGTGATTAGCGTATATTTGACAATAATATAGTCGCTAAAAGAGCGTTAATACAATTCGGACACAGAAGTATGGATAACTGAAAATATTTTCTTTTGAATTGGCTGAACCAAAAATAGCTTGTAATTTCTAAACCGTAGTAAATTTCAGAAAAAACTAAACGATAGTGATAATAGATTTGGCCTCAATTGAGGTTATATAAAAATAGCAAATATGATTTTAAATAAAAATGTTGTTCAGGTAACACCTCGGGGTCACTAAACTTATGCCTCAAGATAATAATAAATGATAGTTCAAAATCTTTTAAATAATCTGCCAGGAACATAATGTGGGAGTCCGGCTATTAGGCGTTAAGATAATATTTAAATTTATTTCGTAATATGTCACGTTTGCTTGCGCGCTAACAAAACGGTTTTATTGTTAGAATGAATGACAATGTTACGAATAATCCGCGCGAATAAATCGAATTAGGAAAGAATTTATCTCATTCAATAATCAATTTATATTAGCTGAAAAATCCAGTACTGTGGTTTTTTAAATGAAGATATTGCAGTCAAAATAAAATAGACCCATGCGAAAATATTTACGTTGGTAAATGTATATACATAAAAATATTCATTTTATCTTTTCATTTTCCAATTTTTCGAACAGGTACACAAAAACACGTTTAAAAATGAATGAATTCTGAGGTCAAACATCAACTAACTTTATTAGACAGACAGCATGTATATGATGTCCATATACAGTGTATTTTCTCGGCTTTATAGTCATAATGAAAATTATGCAAGAATGGGTACGCTTTAAAATTCCATACTGCATCTGCGAAAGTGCAATTTTCGACAATATAAAGCAACACTGATATTCGGAGCTTTTAAAAATCAGTACTTTCAACTTAATGATCAATAGTAAGTTCTAAATAGTTGTGATCATCTCCAGAAGAATCATTTTTTCTTTTCTGTCTTTAGAAAGTTCTTTTTTGAAAAGATTGTATAAATGGTTTTTAGGCCTTGCCTTCTTCATATATGTGGTTGAAAATTCGGGAGAATCTCTCTATATTACAATCATCTAAGGCTTTTAACCAGTGCCTAAAGTACTGGGTCCAGATGAAAGTCCAGTTAAATTAAGTGTAAATGTTTATAGAAATATATTATAATATTTTATTCACTCGGTTAAGCATTTTTCATAAATAATGGGAATTATTTATAGCTTTCTTTCCCTTTCCTCCTTTTTCTGTTTCGATACTAAATACCGTGGAAGAAAATTGTCTACAGGTAATGAATTAGGATGTACTATACCTACTAGTAGTGATTATCTGTATTTTCTTGATATATAAGTATTGATTGTAATATAATATGTATACTAGATCAACGATACTATTATATAACTAAGAAACACTTTCCTAAACCCCCAATAATCTTAAATACGCCATAATCAATAATCACTCTACCTATTTTTATTCGTATATTCAAAAGCTTTTATTCCAAATCCACTTTTTACTGATACCTTTCTGAACGGTAGATAGTTTTTATGTCTGACAGTTTATGTTGCTGTAATAGTAAATTCTTGTGACGCAATCGTGTTACTATTGAATAGATTTGACGGGCATTAGTTCTAACAATATCTAGTTACCGGGGCACTTCAAAAACTTTACCGTACGTAACAAGATCAATTTAAGATCTATGGGTTTTCCCTTCGACAGTGTCGCTATATATTTGTCCATAAAAAATAAAAAAATCATATGTAGCTATTTTTATTATTTTTAAATAAAAGTATTAAAATAGTAATAAAACGTATTTATATGTCTCTTTAAATTACTGGTAATGGTGTACATGCATAGATCTTTATATTTAGCCAAATTGACATGGCAAATATTTGCATAAAAAGACCTTTTACTCGTCTTTAAAAGATGATCAAATGAACAAAAGAACTTTTACTTTGTCGTTTGGTTTTGTCCCGAATCTTAAAATTTGGAACATCATAGTTCCGTTGCCAAAGGAATTACATTTAATATTAATCTACGCTGTATTTGTAGTATTTTTTTTTAATTTTTCATCAAGTTCTCAAATTTTCCTCTTAATATATTGTATTTTGAGAATATCCATTTAGTATTACCAAAATTAATAACTGGGGTATCATTATGGACAATGAGTTTTGTCATATAATATCATATTACCTTAAAAAAATCTTAAAATCTACTTAAAACCCCACATATCTGATCCATATATCAGGAAAACGATCCATTTCCATGCATTAGAAGTGGAAGTACTTCCAGTGTCTTACGAACAACAATAGGTTTACAGCACTTAATACTTTACTTGTATAAAACACCCATGCTCATATATGTTATCGAAAAAAATATAGTATTATTTTGGTGACATATTTGATACAAATGTTTTGATAAGAAGACCAGAAAAAGTGACAAGTAATTTAAATACTACCAAAGCAAAAAAAAAGGAACCTATTTACAATGTATCAGAAACAGTTCAAAGTAACAGACAATATTAATAGTTCTTCAGGGAAGGTTTACAGAATACAATGCAACTAGTAAGGAAAGATTTTCATGGGTTAAAAATTTATCTGCCTGATTTCACATAATGTACTCATATAAACTACACATTTGTTTTGAGCTACTATTAACCTGGATGTGCAGTGGGACCATATTTGACCCTAATATTGTTTGTTTACTTTTATATAATATTAATATTTGGTCTCTTTATGACAGTGAAATATCCTACGGTTTGAAAGTACACATCAATTGACATCATTTGACATGTGACAATAGTTTTGCATCGAGTTAGGGGAGTTACTGCTGAAAAAAATGGCAATAATAAAGACTGTTAGAAAAAACAAGCCATACATTTCTTAGCCAATAACTAAAGTATATAACTTTCTTTATTTTTCACAAGTGACAAAATCGTGTAAATTATTTACAAAAAAGCCTAAAAACATGGTCTTTGTGTGCACATTAAATCACGAAAACAAATTCAGCGAAAGAAATTATTATGATAAAAATTAGACAATATTAGACTACATTGCAATTAAAGGTATCACTGACTTTCTTGACTGACTAGTTGATACTAAAGGAGGAAATTTAATCGATGGTCTACGATAATATTTTACAAGATGATAGATATTTTCTGAACTGCTGTGAATTCAAATTGGAGCAACAACAAATATACAGAAAGAAGGTCATTTCTAGGAGAATTGGGAAAATCGTTACTAAAATTGCAGATGGAGTCAAAATTCCTACCCAGGGGATAAGCTTGGGTGGTAAAAATCCAGCTAAAACAGAAAGAAAAAGAAATGGACAACGTGCACGATGAAAGAAGCGTCTAAAATGATTTTCCCCAAATTGTGCTCCATAATGTTGTTTTTTTAATTTCTTATATTTTTACGTACAATTTTAGTGTTTTTTATACAATAAGGTAGATTTATAGTAATTTTATAACTAAAAGATATGTTTTTTTATTATAAATAATGATTCGGGTCATACAACATGGTTAATAAAATGTGAATAGCTATAGCTAAATCATATTAGTACGCTAACACATGTTTTCCACGCTGCTGTATGAAATGGAGAGCTGGACTCTTACGTAGACACTAAACAACGAATTGGAACCTTTTGAGAGGTGGTCTACCGAGGATAACTAGTGAAATTATGGTTGGACCGAATAAGTAGTTTGACAATTACTGAAATATAATACAGCTATAACTGGACATGTGATGAGCGCTATACACTTCATAATACAAGGCAAAATCGTCGGAAAAAGAGGCTCAGACGGAAGGAGGCCATCCTGGCTCCGAAATCTCCGGGAGTGGTATCATAAGACATCCTATGATCTACTTAGAAATGCTGCAAACAAAATTATTATAGCCAATATGATCGTCAACGTTAAATAATCTGACACGGTCTAACTAGAAGAAGAAAAGATTAATTGTGATGGCGAGTACTCAAAGAAAACATATTTTGTAACAATTCGTACAATAATTTTTCGAACTAATATGGAGCACTCAAGAAAAACATATTTTGTAACAATTCGTACATATTGTAATATATTTATTTGTTTTGAAATTTCGAATGACAAACAAAAAAAAACTATTGCGCCTCCCTGGTAATCAGCGGAGTTGTCCCTGTTCTGATTGGTGAGTCACTGAGGGTGTTGTCCTCTGTCTTTCCCCACCGGCGACTTTGATCAACAGCACCACGCGGCCCGATGACTGCGATCATCGCGTAATACCCAACTCCCTACCAACTAGTTAACTACGATCTCTCGTGTTCAGCGCTCAGTTGTTGTCGATCGCTCATACAAATTAGACGTGTTTTTAGTGAAATACATTGTTATTATTGTGCCTTTGTTGACATTGTCAGTTGTTCAAAAGTGATTAAAATTTTTCTTCGGGACGTTGAAAAAAATTTTGCCATCACGTCGGCGAGTACAGCGGGTGAGTTTTCTGTAATTTTTAAACAGTTTGCAAGATTTTCCATTATTGTCTAAGTTACCTTGTCTGACTTAGTACACAATAGATACGCTCTATTAATATTTTTGCACATCATTATTGGTGACAATATACAGTTAGTTGCTCTAATTTGCCCTGATTCTGTTTGGACAGTTTGTGTAAGATTGTGATGCAATACAGTAATTATTATTTTTGTATTTGAAATTTATTGCGTTTCTCAAATTATATGTGATGAGTTGATGAGTAACAACAGATTATCTTTACTAATATACGCTATTTATCACCGTTCTAAAAAAAAAATGTCGCGCAAAATTCATGATATTATTTATTTATGTTGGCTTTGCCTAATCGAGATATATATTTTAAATATTTTTAAATATTTTTTGGCCTCGATGGGCAATCTAAAAATTATATAACTTAAAATATTGTTTCTTAAAGAGCAATTCATCTTTACTAGGTCAATATTAATGTCTTAACTAGCCTAGATACTTCACTCTTGCCGTTGGCTCTTCTGCATTTTCATTGTTTTCTTTGAACAAGCGGTGATTCATTCTTTTGTTACGGTGTAATAGGAAAATCCGCTTCTCAAGAAACCACGTATTTGTCACTTTTTAATTTCGGCAGCACTGACCAACGTAATTTCCTAGTAAGTTTTTTGAATGGTACCTATTTATTGCTGCTGGCACCGCCAAAAATACCTTTCTTTATTTTGGACACGTAGTTCAAAATTTTTGAACAAATACCAGACTCAGTATTTGTTTCTTTGTTTTCAAGATATAATTTTTCTCAAACGATTTTAGATTTCTTTGAAAAATTCGCATTATAGAAAATATGCCAAGTCTTCTAAGAAAAACGTTTTGGCGGAATAGGTAATTAGTTCAAAATTTTGACCTGAATTTCTTTTTTCCGAAATTAGAAAAAACTGTTACCAAAACTATCATACAAACAGTGTAATTTGCTTTTATTATTTTTTTCTTTATGTGTAAATAAACAATTATTTTCTAACCGTTTTTCAAATGTTTTCTGTTAAATTCAAATGGAATAGTTGTGCCAATTTCCTTTTTTGTTGAGGTCCTTGAGCTGATAAAATTTGATGTTATGTCTGAACGAATCCTTGCTCTTTTAACTATATGATAGGTTATTTGCGTTAATTTGATTAAGAGGACAATAACATTTTGTGATTATTTTGCAGACGATGTTTATGACGTAGCTACTGTTTCCTTTGTTGTTAATAGTTGGCTAGATTAGTCATAATCAAAAGATAAAATTATATCAGTGAAAACTAGTATCTTTAGATCACTTTGTATTATTTTTAAACTGATCCTAAGTAAATAATCTACCAATAAAAATCTAGAGGCTAGTTTTGTAACCTAGGTATGATTTAGTTTTTAATTCCTCTGTTCTAATTGAGACTGAAGTAAATGTAACCTTTTAGTTCGCTGGTATGATCATTGTTCCGGAACCGTAATAGATAAATTACATAATGAAAGCAACTGGTATCAAGTACATTGTCTTATAGTCCAAGAAACCAGAACTCAAGATAGTTTGATACATAAACTGTACTGGACAAATCGTTCAGTATTGGGACCGTGAATAACCCAATTCATTATTCGAATCAGTTCAATAGGTTCTCAGTAATAATCCTTTCACAATTTTACTCCAATTTTGTGTCAAATTCCTTATGAATTGCAATTTTTTCTGCTCTTCTACTTACGTAAATTCTAGTATGTTGAGTCATGACTCTCAGTTCAAGTTCATTACAGGAAACAAAGCATAGCTTTAGCATATTACAAAACATTTCATAATATTTGGGATCCACAGAAATACCAAAATAACCAAAAATATTACTTATTTGCGAGGAACTCAATGAATACTTAATGATTTATCTCAACCACAGAATCGTATGATTTTTAGATTACTTTGGATTTTTTTCCTTCATGTAATATACATCCGATTCATAAAATTAAATTTGTGCCAATGACAACACTAGTGATTTATGTGAGTTTCGTTCTAGTGACTTTTTTGAGTCCCCTATATTCTAACAGGCCCCATAAAAAACTTATTTTAGTTTATAAAAGTTTTAATATTTCTAGATCATTCTGCTAATAAAATCTCTTTCATCTTTTTTTTATTTTTAATAATACCTTTCAAGAAGTAACTCGCGCATTTTTGACTGTTGTTAAAAGGAAAAATTTGTAAATTTCTAATAGTTTAATAGCAGTGAATGTACATAATGCAAATAAAGTGAATATTTGTTATTGCCTGGTGTATAATGTTTAACAATAGTCGTTTTCCATTGACTTCAAATTAAAAAAGGACAAAGTGTCCATATTGTGTTGGCAAGTTACGTGCAGCGCTATTCTATTTGAAAATAAATTAAATATGTTGACAAATATTCGTCTAACGGTTTAATATAGATCTACGATATTATGTAATAGACTTTGACCTAGTTTCCTTTTGATTTTAAGGAGGCCTGTAGGTTTTTCTGAATAGTACAACTCGTTTATTTATATATTATATCAATTTAGCGACGTATTTTTGCGCTACGTATCTTACCTCATCAGATATGCGCAATTTAAGTTGTTTATCATAAAATATATTGAATGATTCGAAAATTACAATGTGTTGGATAATTTCCCCGAAGCGGTGATGCTTTATTCTTTATATAGTTGATACGTATTCGGAAATTATTGCGAAAACTGTTCCGGGAAGTGTTTTTCCACTTTTTGCGATCGATTCCAAAATGTGCATGTGTACTTTTTTGTACAAAATTTATCTGATTAATTGGCTAAGCCAATGTCAAGGAGAAAAATAAAGCTTGGAAAGATTTTTAACATTTTTTGAGATGCATTCCTATCTGCCGTCACGTGTTTTTAATTTTTTTATTGCTTGCAGCAAGCAGATTAGTTTGATACAAAAGTGTTGAAGAATTACCATATATTATTTACTATTTTACATTTATCAAATAGTGGTCAAACTATGTTATTTTTATTTTTTAGTTCTGGATTTTCTTTTGTGTTAATTAATTTGAGATACACATTGATTATTTTAATAATTAATTGAATATAGCACTTCTGCAGCATGTTTTTTTTTTAATTCAGGAAATTTTAGAATTAATTGTTTCGATGATATCGATTTAAAAACTTTTTTCATTAATATTTCACATTTAATAGCAAAATCCAATACATGCATCGAGTATTACGTGGAAATCCACGTGTTTGTATGAAAATTACATAATGGATTTAAAGGTCCCGAGAAAACTATAAACGTGTTAGCATTTTCCGCGTGTTACGAGTCACGTTGCTCATACAGCTGTTTACGTAACAATACACATAGTAGACAGCAAAAAAGTCGCAAGATTAATTAATCTTATTAAAAAAACGAAGTCACGCGAGAATAATAAGGTCTTTTGAACAGATTTGAAAGTAAAGGATAACTGGTTGCCAAAAGAATATGAAAATAATATGATTCGTGCATCAATAATTCTGATAATTGTATCTTGTACTTGATGTACCTTCGGCCTTAACCACCAAGTGTAAGAGCAAATCCTTGACTGCAATTGTGGGCAAAAACCAGTCATTTTTACCATCCTCCTTTTTAAATACATATATATTTTATGCTAGATTCTTTACACTTTTAATTTTTTCTTTTTTTAAATAGAACAAATATATTAATACTGTTTTTTTTGTTTCAGATGTTATAAAACAACATATAATGGTTGCCGAATTCGTGGGCCGTGGTCAAAGTGGGTCCCCAGTAAATGGTGAAATACCACATCTCAATTCAAGTTTACCGGCCTCTCACACAATGGAGATGATGGCCAGCACATCTACGTCTGGTGACGAATTCCCCCCTGGAAGCTATGGGATGTCCTCTGTCAAACATAAGGAGTTGTTTTCCCAACGCAAGCAAAGAGAATTTACTCCAGATAATAAGAAAGATGACAGTTATTGGGATCGTAGAAGAAGAAATAATGAAGCTGCCAAGAGATCCAGAGAAAAGAGACGATTTAATGATATGGTTTTGGAACAGCGCGTAGTTGAGCTAACTAAAGAAAATGCCATTTTAAAAGCTCAATTGGAAGCTATCAAGGAAGAGTATGGAATCTGTGGAGAAAACGTTGTATGTGTAGAAAAAGTTTTAGCAAACTTACCATCTAGTGAACAAGTTTTAAGTTTGTCCAAAAGGCAGAAGCTCACTCATCCTGCAGCTCCTATTTTATATAGTCCACAGACACCTATCCCTACCCCAGTAATACACCAACCTGTTATGGGATCTCCTCCACCACAGCCAATTTCTCACTCCCACAGTGTCCTTCACGCTCCTCCTTCTTCACATTTGGAACCGGCATACAGAGAACCAGATTACCACCATCCTCATTACCAACTAACTTACCACACAGGTATTTCTTACGACTCTAATAATGCTCTGAATCTCTCTCGTTCCCGTTCACGAGTACAATCGCCTTTTGAAGTCTCAAGCAACTCAGGCGATGAAAGCGCTCCTGTGGCTTTAACGACAAATGAAGCCAACAATAGTCTACCTTTGAAACTAAGACACAAGTCCCACCTTGGAGACAAAGATGCTGCTAACGCACTCCTCGCCTTACAGAACATTAAACAAGAACCAGGTCCTCGCGCTAGTCCGCCATGGGATGGAGAAGGTTCCAGTGATGAACGAGACTCAGGCATTTCCCTTGGTGCCGAATGGTCAGCCGCTGCAACTGCCGCAGCTACTCTTCAAACCCTCAAACAATCCCAGCTAACCATGCAAGACAGTACGGAAGGCGACACCACCGCAAAACATAGACTGCACTCAGAAATAGTTCGGCTTTCCACAGAAGTCGAACACCTCAAGTCCATGATGACTAGGAAGGAGAAATAAACAGTTTCTGTTTCCTCACTGTTAGTTTAGTTGTTGATGTGATGTAGTGGTTACCAAAACGCCACTGTTTTTGTGATGATTCTCAAAAGAGATTGGACATATCGTGCTCCAAAGGAGCATATTTATTATATTTTTAGTTATTTATTATTAGTTAAGGATTAATTTGACGGATATTTTGAAATAGCACAAATATTGCTTCATTTTGCCAATGTATTCCTATGATTATTTTGTATTTTATTCAAATTGATTGTTTACCATGTTTTAAACTATAATTGTTTCTTATTGTATTATTATATTACGTCATCACCAGCTGATTCACCTATTCATCTTGTCATAGGGATTAATGTACCTTTTAATATAAGCTGAAAATATGTGTGATTTTGTAAACTATTTATCATATATGTATAAATGTATGTAATTTTTGTTATTTACCACTAGAAACCTAGCGGTCCATCTTATGTTATCTCATTATTGTATATTTATAAATATCAATATCTATTGTAAGACTTAATGCTGGACGTTACCTCAACACTCTTTTCTAATGTTCACTTGTTGTCTATCTATCTACTACATATTATATGTATGTGAAAATTGTATGAACCATATTTGTCTTTTGTCCAGCTTTAACATAACTATGCATATTATCAACATAAATTATTTCTTCCTATTACCGAAGTGAATGTATCCTAATATCTATGTGTAAAAATAAATATGGCATCGTTTCAATCATACTGACTTTTAATTTTATCCAAAAAAAAAACACACACATACCTGTAACAAGTATCAATAACTTCCAAAGGGGTATTTGTGGGAGGGTTATCGATAAACTGGAGTGGAGATTACAAACGAAGGATATTGTTACTTTATACAATCAACATTTAATGCAAAACGATTCGTATTTTCGTATAAGTTTATAAAGAATATAGAGAAGTGAACAAACAAATAACACAACAAAAGAATGAAAAATGGGAAAAAACCTGCTTAAATATTGACACATACATAGGAGGTAAAAGAACTTCGGAGTCATGGAAAGTACTGAGAGGATTGAAACAAAAAAGAAAAAATTAAATTGGGAAATATACAGGACAAAAAAATGGAAAGACTATTACAAGGAACTGTTAACATAACAAAGACCATAATTCATTGCAAAAGAAAACAGGCGAAGACGAAGCAGATCTCCACACGAAATAACAGATAGGAAAATGAGAACGGCCATAAAAGCAGTCAAAAATAAGAATGCAACCGGGACCTGGAGAGCTTATAAAATACGGCTCAAAAAAATTGACACCGCATGATAAAATGGATATTTCAGAAAGCCATAAATGGAGAACAGCTCCCAAAGGAATGGACAGAGGCATATATGACATCTATATTTAAGAAAGAAGATAGAAAACGATGTGAAAACTACAGAGGAATAAGCGTAATATCATCAATAGGAAGATACTACGAGAACAGATAGAACAAGCGATAAAAGGCAAAATCAGGGAGGATCAGGCAGGCTTCACGGCAGGAAGATTATGCATAGACCACATATACACACTGGAACAACTGTTGGAAAATAAAAAAGCAAAAAATAGAGATATAGATTTGGCATTTCTGGACCTGAGAAAGGCGTATGACTCTGTGCTAAGGTCAGAACTATAGGTGGCAATATAAAAATTAGAAATACAGACATAACTCATAGAAGCTACAAAAGCTCTATATAAAGAAAATAAAGTGGGAACAAAAATCATAGGAGATTTCACGACAACAAAAGGACTCCTGCAGAGTTGTTCCACATCTCCAACCCTATTCAAAATATACTTAGAGAAAGCCTTGACTACATGGAAAAGAAAATGCGAAGGCATGGGGGTACCGGTATGGAACGAATAAATATATATGTTAAGCTTTGGAGACGATCAAGTAGTGATTGCACAAGACCAAGACGACCTGTACGTAGTGTGTAAGATGTCACTGTACTCAATAAACTATCAGTGGGAAGCGACCACAAACCAGTAAGAGCTAGAGTAACGATAAATCTACAAAAAGAAAGAGCAAAGATGATAAACAGTTGCAAACGCATAGTTTGGAATTCACCAAATCATCCAGAAGCATACATAAAAAATATAGCCGAAACTTTACAGAGTAATAATCCCAAATCTCTAAGTATCGACGATCACAATAAATTAATATCAGACTCGGTTAGAAATGCACAACTCAAATTTTGCAAAAAAAAATGACACCAAAAGTGAAAAGATTAGCAAAAATACAAAAGCTCTCATGGAAATACGACGAAACCTAAGCGAGAACGAAAAGGGAAACAAAGAAGAATATAAAAAACTAAATAAAATAATTTCAGCGGAAATTAGAAAAGATGTAAGAAGATATAATACTAATGTAATTACTCAAACAGTAGAAGAGAACAAAGGTTTAAAGATAATGAAAAGAAAACTCACACAAAGTAAAAAAGAAATATACAAGCTGAGAGATAAAGACGGAAAGGCAACAACAGAAAAACAAAACATTCTGAAAATAACCAGAGAGTTTTATAAAGACCTCTATACCAGCCACAGACCACAAGACAATTTCCCGACACGAGTAAAGACTCTCATAAATCAGGCATCGGAAATACTTTTACCCATTACTGTGTCAGAAGTAAGAAAAGGAAATGAAGAACCATCGATCGCCTGGTGATGATGGACTCGTTATCGAGGCAATAAAAGCAGGAGGAGAAATTTTATTAAAATCAGTAAGCGAACTGTTTAATAAATGCTTACATGCGCGTACGATTCCAAAATACTGGAACAATGCAGTAATAGTCTTGTTACACAAAAAAGGCGATATTACTAAATTATAAAATTATAGACCCATCAGCCTGTTGACACATATGTACAAACTCTTTATGAAAATCTTAACAAAGAAGCTAACACCTAAACTTGATTTCTATCAGCCCAAAGAACAGGCAGGCTTCAGGGCAGGATATGGCACAAATGACCATTTGCATACCATAAAGATCTTAATAGAAAAGTGCATCGAGTACAACATACCACTGGTTCTTGCATTTGTCGATTACGAGAAGGCTTTTGATTCTGTAGAGTTTGAAACAATACTGGAAGCCCTAAATCAAAGCCGAATAGATTACAGGTACACGACACTAATCAAAAACAACTACGAGAACGATACATCAAGTATACGACTACACGAAGACACAGAAAAATTCAGCTTAGGTCGAGGAGTTAGACAAGGAGACAATATTTCACCAAAATTGTTCACGGCAGCTCTAGAGTCAATATTTAAGAGCACTCAATGGCAAGATATGGGCATCAATATAGATGGAGAAAGATTAAACCACCTAAGATTTGCAGATGATGTTGTATTAATCGCAGATAATTTACAAGATACAGTTTCTATGATGCATTCGCTTAAAAGTCTGTCTGAAAGAGCAGGATTAAAGATAAACTTTGAGAAAACTAAACTTATAACAAATCTCGTAATGAGTGGATATAACTATTGACAATAATAACATACAACAAACAGACACTTACAAATATCTGGGACACGAAATCAAAATAAGCAGAGACAATCAAACACATGAAATACAGAGGCGAATAGGCCTAACTTGGGCAGCATTTGGCAAATTAAGCCATATTCTAAAAAGTTCAATTCCCATGCGTCTCAAGCGAAAGGTTTATGACCAATGTGTTTTACCTGTACAAACTTATGGAGCGGAGACTTTAACACTCACGCAAAAATCTGCGAATAAACTCAGAGTTACGCAACGAGCCATGGAACGTGCAATGCTGAACGTGAGCCTCCGAGACCACATAACAAACCAACAAATCAGGCAAAGATCAGGAGTTCAAGACGTCATCGAAAGAACCACGTCGCTTAAGTGGAACTGGGCAGGGCACTTAGCCAGAGCACAAAATGGACGGTGGACAAGACGTATTATGGAATGGAGGCCCAGAAACTATAAAAGAAGCCGAGGACGACCACCGACTAGATGGACCGATGATATAAAACGTGTAGCGGGAAACTGGCTACAAGCGGCCCAGTGTAGAGAACACTGGAAAGAACTTAGGGAGGCCTATGTCCAGCAGTGGACGCGATTGGCTGATTGATGATGAAGATGACCTCAGCTACATGATGGAGAAACTACAAGAAGAAAATATACTAAGGGTGGCCTAGATATTAACATCGCGAAAACAGAGTACCTATCGACAAGTGAAGAAGACATGCAACGTAACAATCAAAGGAAAGGATAAATTAAAATACTTGGGGTTTATAATCACGAAAAAGGCAACAACAGAGGCAGAAATTAAGCAAAGATTAGGACAAACAAGAACAGCAATCCGACAACTTAACTCAGTATGGTAGGATAGACACCTAAATATGAAGACAAAAACACAGATTTATAAAACATTAGTGCGAAGTATTATGACATATGGGGCTGAAAATTGGATTTTAAATAAGAAAAACAGCAGTAAGATAGTAGCAACAGAAATGGATGGAAAAAGTAGACGACGCCATAAGTAAGAGAGGTCTAAACGATGGAGAATGGAACAACAGAGAGAGATGGAAATGGTTGAGCTAGGGAAGTTAGTGAACACTGTAGAATCCCTGAATATATATACGATTCGTATAATCACTTCTAGACTAAGTAAAACTGTATACAGTAACAAGTTTCGAATAGTCTTTTCTTGATGATCGAAGAGCATTTTTTGATGATTATCTCGATGATCTTGATCGTCGAAGAGCTTTTTTGGTCGCTAATCTCATTAAAACATGACATTAATAAAAAAGAGAGAAAAGAGAAACTTCTAACAGGAGACGAAAAGAAGCAGTGACCAAGGCGCAAGAAAACAGAATTACTACAAGAGTAAAGAAGGGTATCTAATAGGAGATAAGCAGGGGAAGCTAGATAGATGGCATGAGCATTTCAGTGAGCTGGTTGATGAAGAACTGGATGGAACTGATGAGAAGCAAGTTAAAATGGTAGGGGAAGTTAACTATACGGCGGAAACAATGGAGACTCCCACCGTGGAAGAAATCATATACAGGGTGTTTCAAAAAGGTATGTCATAAATTAAATCACGCATTCCTGGAACAAAAATAAATTGATTGAAACCAACTTACCTTACTAGAAAAGTTTACACAAAAAAGTTACAGCCCTTTAAACTTCCAAAATAAATTTTTTTTTGCATTATCTCCTAAACTACTTGATATTTTGTAAAAAAAATGCATTATTTAACATATACTCTGAAAACATCTTTAGAGAGGCCTTAGAGGAATCAGAAAATGGGATTGCTGTAAATGGCCAACTTATAAACAATATTAGATATGCAGACGATACAGTGTTGCTGGCAAATAGTGCGCAGGGGCTTCGAAGATGATGGATAACGTTGTAGAAACATGTAACAAATAATGTAACAAAAATAATGATCATTAGTAAGAACACCAACATAAACAACTAAATTACAATAGGCGATACACACCAAAAAGAGTGGAAAAAATATGCTATTTGGGCTGCAATATTAACGATACTTTAGATGACAGTTACGAAATAAAAACTCGTATTGAAAAAGCCAAGCTTTAGGAAGATTTTCTGCAACTTATCTTTAAGTATCAATATACGCCTAAGAATTCTTAGATAGACTGGAGTTAAGAGGTAATCATCATCATCAACTAGCCTCTAACGTCCACTGCTGAACATAGGCCTCTCGCATGCTCT